CTTGAAGACGGTCCGAATGCCTTGTTGTTCTAGGCAGCGGCGGAGAGACTCCGAAACTCCTTGGACATAATTATATAAGGCAAAACGGCAGTCGATTTAAATTCCGCGACGGGCTGTCTTCTTGGGGTTGTTCGTGCCTTTGTGATCTTCTGTACAATCTGTACAAAAGAGGAGGGATATCCGTTAGAAACAAGTACAGATGACAGATGTTTCTTCTCTCCAGCGATTACTGATGGTTTGGCCACGAGACGTTTAGCCCGGTCGTACAGACATTTCACAATACCGCGCTTTGCTTACTGAGGGTGGTGTGAATCGTACGCTAATTACTGATCAGTATGTGTTGGTTTCCTGTAGACACTGGTGGTAAGGCGGCCATCAGGTTCTCTATAAACTGACGTGTCGAGAAAGGCCGTCGAGTGGTCCTCGGAGAATGTGAGCAGCTACTACAAGTCAAACGTGAAAATTGCTCACTTGAATATCAACTCGATTCAAAACAAGATGGACGAAGTCAAGGAAATGCTTAATCGAAATATGTTTGATATCTTGTTTATCGCTGAAACAAAAGTTGATGCTATGTATAGCGACGATTTATTCAGTCACCCTGGTTATCGCATTATTCGTCAAGATCGGAAAAAGGGAGGAGGCGGTTTAATGGCTTTCGTGCGCGAGGATATGGCGGTGATTCGACGGCGTAGATTGGAGCCAGAGCAAGTGGAATCGATTTGCCTCGATGTGATGGACTCAAGAAGGTCGCGCCACTGGGCGAAACTCTATAACGAGGTGCTTGATAAGCACGCGCCACTGAAGAAAAAGCGTTTAAGAGAAGATCAATTAAAGGAGACCGACAGTGGAAAGGCGACAGGAGCAGTTTTTATTGACTTATCAAAGGCATTCGATACCATCAGTCATTCNTACAGATGACAAATGTTTCTTCTCTCCAGCGATTACTGATGGTTTGGTCGCGAGACGTTTAGCTCGGTCGTACAGACACTTCACAATACCGCGCTTTTCTGACTGAGGGTGGTGTGAATCGTACACTAGGTACTGATCAGTATGTGTTGGTTTCCCGTAGACACTGATGGTAAGGCGGCCATCAGGGTCTCTGTAAACTGACGTGTCGAGAAAGACGATCTTGTTGTTGTTCTCGATCTCCATGGTGAAACGGATTGATGGTTGTTGACTGTTCAGGTGTTGCAGGAAGACGTCAACTCTATCTCGATCCAGGCATACTGGTCAATGAAATGTAATTTTTCTGCTTAATTAATATTAGCACTCATTATTGACCATTTATTAAAATTTGATTAAAATTGCAGATTTAAAATTCTCTTTTTACAGCTTGCCCTGCTTGGTTACGCCATGTTTTCTAAGGCAAAAGTCAGTCTTTCTATATGGCGCAGAGGATTATTGCAGATAAGAATTTTTAGCTTGTCTAGTTCGTCTTGAAAACGTCTGTTGTTGCTGACCGACGAACTGGGAGAAATTCCCAGTTTAGCAGTGATTTGATGGGCTCTAAGACTCGTGCAAAGTTCGGAAACAGTGATTGGTCAGTTGTCGTTAGTTTCGACCTAGTGGTGTTAGTTGAAGTCAATGCTTATTCATCAGTTGACATAGACAAGGCGATATCGATAACAATTTGTTTGCGAAAATCTCTTGTTGTTTTGATTCTTACATTTAACCCGTTAAGGATGAAACAGTTGGCGAAACGTTGATTTTCATGGTACCTCTTATGAATTATAAGACTGATTCTCACCTCTATGACATCAATCCTTCATTTAAGGCATTATCATTTCTTCGGGGAGTATTCAAATCATTTATCGTAAGAACAAGGATAAGCTCAAAGATGCCATTAACATAAACATAAAGGTTAAAAGAGCTCAGTCACAGTATTTTGAGTTATTTTGGGCACGTACAAAATTACCTTTAAATTAAAGGAAACCTGAAAATAATAGTTAATCAAGATAGAAAAACACCAAAGAGTTGGTTAAGGATGGTTAAGGATGGAGAAGATTGAGACGGATTACAAACGACGAACTTGAAAAAGTTAGGCTAAAGCTTTCAAGCTGCCCAAACCATGACGTATCTCCTTTAACGAAACAGTTAAGTCTGCATACGAGCCAAGTGGCTCATCAGGCCGGAGCCTATCCCGGTTTCAGTATCATGAAGCGACTAGGAGTATTTCTACTCCCCCCTGGATGGGATGCTAGTCCATCTCAGGTTACCCCCCATTTATACACCTGGGTGGAGAGAGGCACCGTGCGAGTAAAGTGTCTTGACCAAGAACACAACACAATGTCCCCGGCCACGGCTCGAACCCGGACCACTCGCTCCGGAGTCGAGCGCACTGACTATTAGGCCAAAGCGCTTCCCACTTTTAACGAGGCAGACATCAATGTAAATGAACTCAGCACTGTATGTTGGTGTGTAACATACATGCATTAAGAACAGCTTCGGTGATTAATTTTTCAATTTTTCTTTATCGTGGACATGCAGAGCATAAACCACCTCACTTTAAAAAAAACCTGTTCTCGGGGTTTATATCTATGAGAACATTAGTCGTCATTAAAGGATAACGTAATTTAGGTTCTAGGTGCGCCCAGCATGATACTTTGAAATAGATTGACACTGCTCCGGCGGTCAATATAAGCTCGAATTTAGACCTAACGCCGGCTGTTGCTTGAATAGATTCACGTTGCTAAGTCATTGCATCTTAAAAACTCTTTGAAACATTTTGACACACTTTGAATTTCAATATGGACTGACAATGTTGCAATAACAAAGACTGCTGATTTTACTTTGATACGGGGTGATTGTATGAAGACTGGCTGATTTTATAACGAATGAGGCTCTGCTGCTTCAATATAGCCAAGCAGTTGTTTTCAAATTTTATATTTAAGAACTAGAAAACATTTTCCGTGTTTCTAGGGAGTTACAGAAACACAAGTGTACGTTTGGGAGAATGAGAATGGCTGTGGGAACACTAGCCACGTTATTGCTCGCGCTACAAACCTGTGTTTTGTCGCGAGGGAGCGCGCGGAAGCGGTTTTCTTTAAATTAACGGCGTCGCTGTTCAAAGTAGAGTACCACAGCACCAAGAAAGGCCCCTTTGCTGTAGTTGGCTTCACCTCGTTTTATTACATTTATTAACATGTATATTCTCGATAAAGTGAGCGTTTAGTTCTTTTTCCAATATTTTAGGAAAACATCATGGGAAGTAACTCGGTAACAAATAGAAAGGAAACAACATCCCAAGAAGACCAAGAAGGCCTGAATAACAAAACTGCAAACAGGAAAATAAGAAGGATTCATAAACTAAATGTATTTAATCTTCTAAAGGTATAGTATAGGTTAAATTTACTATCACTGCTGAATTTATTTCCCTCTCGGGTTATGAATTTTATAAAACGACATAACAATTATTAAGTCATTTATGAACAAACAGAAATTGAGAATACTGATAATATAAAAATAATATAATAAACACTATAAGAGGACAATCAATCAGTCAACCAATCAATCAATCAATCAATCAATCAATCAATAAGTCAGTCAGTCAGTCAGTCAGTCAGTCAGTCAAAAAGTAAATAAAAGGTAGACAAAGAAATAAACAAAACAAAGTAAAACACTTATAAACGCATGTAGTAACATGTATTGAGCTACAATCAAGGAAAAAGACTGCAAGCAAGTAAGTCGCTTGCGAATGTGAAAAGCCTCATTTATCAGTTCATGAATGAAAGCAATGCGATGAATGCAAAAAGAAATAAAACAAAATGATGTGATATTAAGAATGTTATGAGAATGGAAATGTTTTTCGGTATTTAATTTGTGAAACGATATTGAAGTGAGTGCCAAGGTAAAATTCTCCAGTAATCAGAGTACTTATGAAAGTAGACATGAATGTTAAAGATTGCTATGATATGATAAACACATCGGAGCAAAAATAATTAAAACTTAGTATTTAAAACTGTTAACTACAATACAATAAATACACGTTAAAATGTAGGCTCAAATAAAAGAAAATCGAAGTGCAAAACGCGTTGGAGTTTTTTCTTTACAAAAGTATATCATAGTTTACTTTGTGTAATGGTGCATAGGCAATTTGCAGTAGAATAATAATAATAGAATGAATAAATGAATGAATAAACTTTATTAAAGTGTCAGAGGCATTTGGCTTGTGCAGCTTGTGGACACACTTTACCTTAAATTAGAACATATTTGCGACAAAAAGACAATAAATTTACCATAATAAATAACAGAGGAATAATCAAAAAGGCGGTTAAGTGAAGTTTCAATATCAGAATTTTTGTATCTGTATGCTCGTTGCTAGGTAACTGTTACATCAAAGGTGTCTCACGACATTATCAAACTACTGTTGTGCGTCTCCACGATGAGACTTGACTCCCACGCCTCACATATTTCTGTCTTGTATGGGCCCGTGATCCATTGTCGGGAAATCGACGTTTTAATGTCCTCTTTACGGCCTCTCGTATCTCTGTGACGCGCCAATAATAAAACAAAGGATTGAGCGAGGAATTTATGAACGTAATTGAGCCAGTAAATTCTAGAAAAATCTGTTTGGTAAGACTGTGTCCTGTTACTTGAATGACACTGGCTGTGCAAAGATATGGAAAGGTGCAAAGAAAAATCAAGATGCAAATATAAAACGTGTTCACTGCTGATCGTTTCCACCGCGTGAAAAACAAATGGGATGTAACCTTTGAGTGGCGAGCTGCACCCCCACGAACTTGCACCATGATTTGCGCTCGATGACGTCTCACAATCTGATAGATTTTAAAATACATCACTGTTAAGACAATTATAGAGGCGCTGGCTGAAGAAAATCCTAAATAATAAAACACTTGGCGGTTATACAACCACATGAAGGCCCATACAAACGATAACATCCAAACGACAGCCATGATGGCTATAACTTTCCTGGTAGTGACTATAGCATGATATCTCATGTGCAAACGAAATACCAGGTACCTCTCTATGCTGATAATTGTTGCCGTCGAGAAAGACGCCCCTGTCAACACGCTGGAAATAACATCGAATGCGCTACTGAGACCGAGTGGGATGTTTTCCTTGGACACAACGTAAACCAGCCTTGTAGCGAGGTATAGCGGTTGAGTTAGCAGACCAACAAAGAAGTCGGTCAAGGCAAGGCCAAACAGTAGACTATTTGAAGGCGTATGCAACGATGATGTCTTCCATATCACTAGTAGAATCACTCCGTTCCCAGCAGCCGCTATAAATGAAAATATTGCATTTAGAACACAGTTTACAAGTAAAGATGTTCTTAACTTTTCAAATTCTTCATCTGTGATAGCTGAATTGTGATCGATGCGGTCATCATGGCCCAAATAGTGTAAGTCTTCCATCACAAGCAGGCTACTCTTGAAACAGAAACAGGAATTTGAAGTCTGCTCTCATTTTCGTCCTTTTGTAAGATTTGCAATCATCAGTGATCTTCCGGACAAAGATAATTAACTCACGGCCAAATTAAATCCTGGCAGGCATATGAAAACCACACAAGAGATTAAACATCAAACATTAAAAATCGCCTGTGGGTCTCGATAGCCTGAGGGAAGGATCCCAAGGATTTTGACTTGCTTTATGGTGCCTTTGTTCAGGTGTTCTTAGTCCATACCTTTTATTTCCAACGACTTTCAGTAGCGAGTTACAATTTTCTTTACATATAAAAGAAGCTTATTTCTGCATTCAATTTGGTGATTAATTGAAAAAAATAAATGAGCCACCGTGTCAGAATAACAGGTTTTTTTACATTTTAATTAGAGCTTGAAAAAACATTAAATATAAAAAGTGAAATAAATCAGATTAACAGGTTTTTTTATTTGCTCTTAATGTAAAATATTAGTTTAATGTGTGGGCAATAGCTATTTTAAACTTAATTATAGAATTCAACTTCTGTGCTCTTGTGGATGGTGCAATTTGACTGGCGGAACTACGTGTAACATTCCATGCAGCCATTAATGAGCAGTAGCATGGTGTCGTCTGCGAAATGGCGACATTTTCTCTCTTTTTTTCCCTAAAGTTTCGGAAGAAGATTTAGAAATATACACTGAATGATTGGACACCCAAGAAGACTAAGAAAGGACAGCCCTAGTTGTGCGACTCTAAAAAAACTTAATTAGATAAACAAATGATATTGATTCACTCCGCTCACGGTTTCGCTAAAGCGTGAAGTTTAATGGTATTCATAATGCTGAGAAATGAATGAAAAGTCATCATGAAATTTACTGCTGAGATGCTAGTGCAACAATTATATTATTCGTTCACGATTTCTTTAAGTTGATTGTTGAATGGGCCTTCTGTCTCGGCGTCAACTATATCCCTTCTCGAATTCATATTGTCTAAATGTTATGATAAGTTAATAATAATATAACAAATCTGCCAACACATTCAGTAATCATTGATAAAGAGACAGGAAATTAATTTATGGAACGGAAATTAAAATGGAGAACACTGTTCTCAGGATGACAAGAGAACTCTGACCCTCCTAACTCTGCTGATCCTTTA